TCAGCAAATATAAAAATGTGGCACCTATGGAGTACCTAAAATTACCTAGGTACTTATAATAATGTCCCTAAAGTTCAGTTCTGAGAGTAGTGTTCAGGAGTTTTGCCCAGGTTTTTGCAAATGAGGAGACATTTGCCTTGAGTTTGTCACTTTGTCAAACACCTGGAGCCCTACATGTGATTTCCTGTGCTAAACATCTCAAATTGCAAGTGACACAAATGCTGCCTAGTAAAGTGATGAAGTTTAATGTCTACAGTTCAGAGATTTTTTTTCTTTCCCCCTCTCTCATCTTGTAGGAAGGTTTTGTCAAGTGCAACAGTCCTTACCCCTGCAGCATCAAGTCCAAGGCTTTTCAGCATTGACTATGAAGCCCTAGACTGTACATCTGATATTTCTTCTGGGTTTATTCTTTTGGAAATAAAAAGAAGTTTAGAAACTGGATCCAAAGAGCCTGCCCAAGCCTGTGGCAGTATGAAACAGGTAAACTGACAGGCAGCATTTCAAGCATCACAGTGGACAATCACTTCCAAACAGTGACACAGCCAAGAATGAACACTTATAATTAGGGAAAGAGAGTTTGCTCACTTCTTCATGTCCAGCTGAAAACCTCAAGTCCAGGAGTTTTCCTGCTACGCTGCTTTCTCAGACATGTCCCTGGCTGACAGCGAGCAGAGGAGCAGGATTGCACCTGAGTCTGGTTCTACAGGGATGACGGGGACAGGGGTAGAGAGAGCAGCATGCTCCAGAAAAGGGGTAGATTTAACTTCTTACATAATACAAAAGGAAATAATCCAAGTCAAAATCTGGTGTCTTAGGCCAAAATACAGCATATTTTAGATGAAGGTAATAAAACAGCACTATGAACATGTAAAAAAATAAGAGAAATTATATTATGGTCTTTGTTTGCCACATCTGAATGACTAATAGATTGGGTTAGCAATGAATTTTTGATTTCTGAAGAAACATTAAAATTAAATGGACTACTGGTTTATTAATTTCTGAAAGAACAATTTTTCCTTTTATGCAGTGTCACAAAAAATCAAAGGTAGATTTAACTTTTTACGTAATACAAAAGGAAATAATCCGAGTCAAAATCTGGTGTCTCAGGCCAAAATACAGCACATTTTAGATGAAGGTAATAAAATAGCACTATGAACATGTAAAAAATAAGAGAAATTATATTATGGTCTTTGTTTGCCACATCTGAATGACTAATAGATTGGGTTAGCAATGAATTTTTGATTTCTGAAGAAACATTAAAATTAAATGGACTACTGGTTTATTAATTTCTGAAAGAACAATTTTTCCTTTTATGCAGTGTCACAAAAAATCAAGTCACTGTGGAGACAGAGAAACACAAACAATCATCAAGGTTCAAAGTGACAGTGTAAAAGGAGTTTCACCTTTAGGCCACTGGTTGATTTTTAAAAGAGGAATTGAAATATGCCTTTGGGGAGTTGTTTGATGTCCTGGGTCAGCTTGATCTCGAATACAACTTCGTTCCTAACAGACAAGTGTTCCCATCATAAGCACTGCAGCAACAGATAACCACCCTGACAAGCAGAAAGGAGCATCCTTGAACCAGTTTTTCTGGAAATAATGTGTCACAACAGCCATTCCTCTGCAAAAATACAAAAGCACCTGTTTTCATCTCCCCAAACACCTAAAGCTGAACTAGTGTTTATTGGATTCCATAATAAAAATAAAAACACTTCATCCTCCCTTCTCAGATTCTTGCAGGGAAGGCTGATCCAGACCCAGGGCTGTTACCTTAGGAACTGCTCTAAATCACATTCAAAGCATTTTGGTCATCATCAAGTATCTGTGATAATCAGATACTTCACTTTTTCAACAAGAATATCCTAGCACTGGTTTAGCAGGGCTTGCTTAATCATTTTTAACCCTTTCAGACACTGAGGAAACTTGTTGTGAAAAAGTATGTTAACAAACCAAATAAAGAAAGCCAACCAACATATATTCCCACCTATATCTGCAAATTCTAGCCAAACTTCATTTGGGATTTAGTGTTGCAAAGGAACAGCTTTATATGCCACTATCTGGATACATCCCTAATAAAAACAATATGGAATTGAACACTTTAAAAGAAAGATGAGGAAGATAATTGCATAATTATTAAATGAGCAGTCTTAGAATCAATGGTCATCTCAAACTGTAAAATGACATAATAAAATACAACACCACAAACCCTCCCTTTTCCTCTGATTTATGCTTCATGAAAAAGCAAAACAAATGTTACACAAGTATTTTCAGTAGCTGAAAACTGGCTATCAGTACAAAACCAGAACTACAGACATTCCTCACTGCTGGGCTGAACTGTTCTCAAAACAATCCAATGTAAAGGCCACTGACAAATATTCCTAGCATTCTGCAGCCAGAAAGAACTAGGGTGCTGTGTTTGGTGCAGATCACATTGCTTGTGCTTTAGAGGTGTATTTAGGCTTCAGTCTATGGTTTACTAAGGACTCTGAACTCATGGCCTCTCTCATCCTAAAATCTCAGAATAATCACTGCTGTTTAGTAGCATTTCATTGCACGTCCATCAAAAATAAACACACTCAAAATAGCAGAGATTAAGAAGCTACAGTCTCTTTGCCTATCTCAGCTATGAACAGTTCTGAAAAACACATGTAGTGTTGCCCTCTGCATACCTTTCAGACCAAAAGATGTAGGAGAAGAAGAATATTAATAGCATCTAATAAGGTGAATCCTGGAATCCATTTCACACTGAAAAGGGGAAAACTCAAGAGAAATTATATCAGAAACCATTCTTAAGGTTCAAGAAGTACACCATATTTTCTGTCCCTGTTGCAGAAACAAAGCCACCAAGTATATTTTCAAGAAAATATTTAAATAAAATTGATGAAGTGTCAACACTTGACTGCTTGTTTAAATTGAATATAATTATAAAAGCTGTTACAGAGTGTTCAATTTGTTTCAATGTTATTATATATCATAAAGGCTCATTCAAGCAGGGAGAATACTGCAGACAAGGCATGAAGATTAGAAGATGTCTTAGACTTCTCCCTGTAACAGCATGAAATACAATCTAAAGCAGCCAAAATTCTTTTAGTGGAGCTAATTTCTTTTCATTGGGGCTTTATGAAGAAAAGAATCAGTGTTCCTTTATGCTGCAAGAACACTTTGCTATTTGATTAACAGGAAGTTAAATGAACCAAAGCTACAGAAAGAAAAAAAAATCCACCATCAATTAATGTGACAAATTCTTAATAGGAAAACAAATCAGATTTATTTAAAAACTGAGGTCTTAGTTCTGGTGTATTTGTGTTTTCCCAAGGTTGAGCTTATATTCCCAAGGTTTATATTTTTCATAGTTTATGCTTTCTGAGGAGTATAGATGTCCATGGGAGAGGGCTTTCTCCTGCATTGTTCCTGCTGAGTAGCCCAAAGACTAATCAAGAGGACCATGGCAAGCTGTAGCTGCTTATGCTCCAGGTGCACCACAGCTGATGAGAAGTGGTGTGCAAGAGCTCAATGCCTGCTGCCATCACAAGCACCACTCACATTATCAACTGAAAATAAGGCGTTTGAATGTTAAATTTTTCTCTCTTCTTCCATAATCTGTCACATTCAGATGGGAAGCACAAGGCAAGTCCCCAAGGACCCCCTGGAATGCTGCCAGCACCTTACCTAGGAAATAATTCTGATACTCTTGCACTTTCTAAACATAGGCTGAGTGGTGAGTTCTTATATTGCACCTACAACACAGATATGCTGGTCTGAAATTCTGGACCAGACATATTTTCACAGGCACTTCCAGGCTGTGGAGGATGATGCATGGCCACAGCCTCTCAGTAGTGCTTACAGTCTCTCAAATCAAGTCAGCACCACTGTCACAGCTGCATGACATGGTACTGAACCGATTCCACCTCACCCAGAGAACAGGACAGAAGCTGAATTCCTAACTGTTTAATAATATCCATTCATCCATACTTCTTGCCCAGTACAGATATTTTGGTTTCAAAATTAAACAGTCATACATTTATCAAAGCAGTCAACTTTATGGTATCTCTGTACACCCTAAGTGAGTGAGAAGCAAGGGGTTCTGACCATAAATACAAATAATATATTCCATGATTCACTCTCTTCCACAAGGTAAAAAACAGCAGTTAATTAAATATTAAAAGATTCTAAGCATATAGTAGCAAATAGTAAAACTAGCATGAGAAATGTGCCTGCCTACTTCAGCCATAAAACACAGGAGAAAACCTTAAAATTTACAACTGATCATAACTTTTTTAATACCGCTGTTATGAAACTTTTCTTTCTACTATTATTCAAGTGGAAATTCGCTAAGGCTTCACTCAGGCTGTCCTCCAGTTGGGATTCTTGTGCTCTGAAAGCCTCTGTCTTAGTGTGGGGGTGTCCTGTATGGGGGTGCTGTCAGTGGTGGATCTCTTCCACAGCTTACAAGTTTCTTTACCAACAAGCTGCTCCTCACTTGGAGCCGCATATAATCCTCGAAATAAACCCGTAAACTACTTCAAACTTTTCAGAATTTTACCCCTTTATCACACCTTAATGACTCATAGCTTTTTAAATGTCACACCTCAAAAACATTGTTTCTCCAGCATATAAAACAGAGAGAAGAAGCCCTGAATTTCAAAGTAAAACTAATAATCTGAAAATATTTCTTCTGTGTTGGAGAATTCCCCTCTGCCTTGGTTTACTATTTATAAACCACCAGTCTGGGATTAATTATTATAAATCCTTAAAGCCGAAAAGAAGATTTTAAGCATTTTATTCTACGTATAATCTACACCATTATTAAACTGCAGCTCAAATGCACTTTATGTCCTATTTCTGCTGGTCACCTTTTAACATTTATGCATTTTACCTATGGTAAATTTTACTCCCTGGGAGAAAGAATTTCTTAGTACTCTGAAAACATGGGACCACCCATCTGACGTGGCAGGGCTCAGTGGGAGCAGTGTCCCCTGCCAGGCTCCAGGGACACTCACCAGGCACCCCATCTCTCATCCAGTAAGAGATGTCTGTTCCATCTGCAGTGTCGTAAACATCCGTAACATTGATGTGCTGCAGCAGAGTCATGATCTCCCTCACGATGTCCCGGGCTTCAGCACTGCCAGAAAAACCCAGTCCAGATGGCTGGAAGGTGCCCTCATCAGACTCCATAACGATATCAAAGTTGGAGATATTTTCCTAAACATGTAAGAAAAGAAGGTGTTATGCTGTGGTTGTTATTTTAGCTGGCATCATATACTGGGATCTAGGTGTCATTGTGAGCATACCACAACAAATTTGTTGTCAGAAGCAGAGAAATGCTTCCTGTGAAAATGTGTATGTAATCATAAATGAAGGGACCTATCTTTCTGTATGGAAATGGCTGAAACAGTTCAAATTATATTCTGATATAATATACCAATATTCTGTAGGACCCACAACATGACTGGTCTGCTGTTCTCAAATACTTGCTTTCAGATCTCTGAAGTGCCACCTAGAAAGGTAAGCCATCACCACCATATTGCAGTTTTCATTTACAGCTCTCCCTTTCTTCTCAGACTTGAGACTCTGAAATTCTGTTGCAGTGGAGAGAGTGTGAAGTCCTTTGGCTTTAAAATTAGAGGCATCCAAAGCCTTCATAGACTGTGAGGAAGTCTATTTAAAAGCCAGCTGCTGCCTGTTCAGAAACACATTATTTTCAATATAGCATATAGTCAATTCTGTTATCAATTGGAGGATTGAAATGCCAAAGTCTTCCCCCAGACGTGAAGAAATAATATCTATTTTAAGGAAAATTTGTGCTTCCAAGGTAAATCCTCACAAGAAACATGAAAGGTAAGATTTTGTGTACAAGTAGCATAATAACATTTGCTTTTAGTGTGTACTTGGAAGAATCTTTTAAGCTAAAAGAACACATATTAGCAATTTATTTACTTACCATATTTGCTTAGATTGCTCAAAGGTCTAATTGGAATTAAATACATAGGGATTTTACATGACTGACGATCTCATTATAAAATGAGATCTGGGGAGGCACATAACTTTTTAAAAAGAGTTTATGGTCATGTCAGTCAGAAAACAAGGTATACTTCAGGCCTCCTTGAATGTGACTAAGAGAACCCACTGCAGGTTTTACTCCTACGTCCAGATCTCATGCCCGAATTTTATGGATGCCATAGGTTATTTATTACAAGAAAATCACTACAAGGGATATGTGATAGCAGCAACTAACAGACCCATGTCACTACCAGCATATATAAGCCTACAATTCAGTAAATAATTCTTTTAGATTTTTCTATATATAAACCAAAATACGTACTACAGGTGGCTGTGAATAATTCACACAAGTTTTCAGATGTCCTTTATAGAATTTGCCAAGAACTGTTTAAGACTTTTTTCTTTTGAGTGAAACAATTCTAACAGAGCAAAACTATTTACTTTTAACTTAGAAATATATCTAGTAGTTAAAAATTTTAATATAAAATCTTTGCATGATAAAGAAACTGTAGATGTTATAATACCTTAAGATAACCAATTTACCTACCCACTTAACTACTGGACATCAATGTGCAAATAACCAATCTTGCCACCTTATTGGCAATTGCCATCTTTAGACAGTGAAAAACATCTTCAGTTTGTGAAAGATTAAATGTAAATAATTAGGTTACATGTGGTGTCTAGGCCTGTCCTCAAATGCTGTCTGGAGGTTATGAGCTTCAACATGAATCATGATTTACAGACTGTCTGAGTATAGTGGGAGAGAAGCAGGCCAAGAAAAGCACACTGCAGGCTAAAAGGGACCAGTGATGCTCCAATGCCATAGATATAATAAAAAGAATGTCTCAAAATGTAAATCTTCTTTATCATATGCCCAAGGAGGAAGCACACATTTCAGTGTGCTTCTGAATTGCCAGTGAAAGCTAACTTAAATATAGTGAGCCCTACACAAATATGATGCTGTGGTACTCAGCTTCTTTGGTTGAGTTTCCAAAGCAAGACTTCTGTCTGTTTTTAGAGCAGCTGAAATGAGGAAAGCAATAAGGCCAGGGGAAGGGCAGTGAAGTGAGGAGAAGAGTGAGCATGGGAACAACATGGACACCTAAAAGAAATCTCTCTTATCACTCAAAACAACAGAATCCCTAAGTTCAAGAACTTCATAAACTGCTGCTATTTCAGAATTGCAGTGCTCTTCAGTTGTGTTTTCTCACATAAATATTTGCATGTGTTTCTAATATGAAACTGAGTAAAAAAACCCACCCACAATACGTTACACCATATTGTTGTTCTGTAAGAAAGCTCTTCAGTTCTGAGAACGTGCTGGAGAGGCATGAAAACAGGATATCCTAGGGAGAGAAACTGACTTCACCGGGGAGCAAAAAAGAAACAGGTCACAGCTACTTGAAATACTACGTGTCCTTGAGAAAGCTTTTTCCATATCTGGTCCACTAGAAGATAGGATTACTTATAAAACGACTTACCATCAAATTTGAAAGTCTTAAAAAAAGTTAGATTGGTTTCCCTAGCCCCACTTTTGTACATTTACATTGGCATTTCTACTTACACAGAGAGAAATACATGCTGGAAAACATGCTTAAAATATACTGCTTAAAATAGTGAAGATGCTTTGTCATCATTTGCCATCTATGATGCAGGCATAATTGCCACCAACAAAGTCAGGTGAGACCATACATCCCCCCCTAATTCAAAGAAGCAAACAAACCAGAAAGATTTAAAAAAATAATTGCAGGCTCAGCTGCTTCCTTCAGTCATTCTCCTAGTGAATGTACCATCTAAATAAGCATTCTAAACTCAGCATGTAATTTTTTTCAGAAAGTAATCTCATCTGCTGCATCTTGATATTGTGCCACTTCTCTTGGTATGCACTAGAAAATTAAAATTTCTCTGTGTAACCTGCTGCCTAATTCTCTGAATATCAAAAGAGACTTTTATCCTTTGCCTTCTTATGACTCTTGCAAAGGAGGTCATCTGTCTTTATTATGTCATCTTTAGCTCTTCAATTGAATTTTTAAATGAAACATTACAATAAATACTGCATGGGAAAATTGGCTTTCTATAGCTTGCTATTCTCATTGAATACACAATTAGGCACAATCCTTACCAATAGTTCTCCTATTTTAAGTTTTTTATTTTAATTCATTATATTTCTGTTTTCTCTATAAACAATCTACTTTTTGTCTCTGCCAAGCAGAACTAAAAATATAGATACTTGTCATCCTTAAGGCAAAAACCTGATAACATGAAATCACAGAATCACAGAATGGACAAGGTTAGAAGGGAGCACGTGGATCATCTGGTCCAACCTCCTTGCTCAAGCAGGGCCATCCCACAGCACATGGCGCAGGATCGTGTCCACATGGTTCTTGAATATCTCCAGTGAAGGAGACTCCACAGCCTCTTGGCAATCTGTTCCACTACACCTGCACAAGTAAAGAAGTTCCCCCACCATGTTCAGGTGGGACTTCCTGTGCATCAGTTTCTGCCCACTGCCTCTTGTTCTATTGCTTGGCACCACTGTGAAGAGCCTGGTCCATCCTCTTGACAGCCTCCCTTCAGATACTTACAGACATTTATGAGATCCTCTCTCAGTTGTCTTCTCACCTTATCTTTTTCACCCTCTGTGTGCTCCAGGAGCTTCACACCTCTTGTACTGTGGAGCCCAGAACTGGATGCTGTGTTCCAGCTGTAGCCTCACCAGGTCTGCATAGAGGGGCAGGATCACCTCCCAAAATCTGCTTCCAGTGCTCATCCTAGTGCACCCCAGGATATCTTTGGCCTTCTTAGAGCACAGCTAGCTCATGGACAGCTTGCTGTCTATTACTCAGGTCCGTCTCCATGAAGCTGTTTTCCAGCAGGTTGGTTCCCATCCTGTACTGGTGCAGGTTGTTCCTCCCCAGGTGCAGGATCCTGCATTCACCTCTGTTGATTTTCAGATGGCTCCTCTCTGCCCATCTCTGCAGCCTGCCAAGGTCATTCTCAAGGGCTGCACAGCACTCTGGGGTATCGGCCGCTCCTCCCAGCTTTGTGTTGTCAGGGAACTTGCTGAGGAGGCCTCTGCCCCTTCACCCACGTTATTGGTGAGAAGTTAATACTGGGCCCAGCACCGATCCTTGGGGGACACCACCAGTGACAGGCCTCTAACTAGACCCTGTGCCACTGATTACTGTCCCACCCTCTGGGGTCGGTCATTTAGCCTGTAATTACAGTAAACTCCTTCCATTAAGAAAACAGATCCCTGTAATATATACAACTGGTACTTCTGTTGGTAGGAAAGATCTTTCTTCTAGGCTAGCCACTGGCAATCCCAAGCAGGTACACCTTACAGTAGTCACTTATTCAGTCACATTCCCAATTGTCAATTCTTACCAGATGTTAAAATAGACTGTATCTCATGACTAATCCATTGAGTCATGGATGGCAATCCCTCTTACTCAGCTTAAGCAGGAACATACCTGAAAGTTTAATGCAGGGAACAACTAGCCTTCAGTACTTTGCGGCTGTTTAAAATAGAGTATTACTTATCCAACAGCTCATTTACTGGTTTTCTTTTTTGTTCCACTGAAAAGAATCACCATTTTACAGGAAAAATACCTAAGTCTACAATGACAAAGGACTTGACTAATGGTTCATTTGTTCCAGTGATAAACGACATCGTTAATCTGACACTGTGTTTTCAGCTTTCTGTTATTGATTTACACTTAACTTTAAGAAACAACAATGCTTGTATTCCAGTATTTGTCCCAGAGCAGTCAGGAAACAAGTATAGCATGGCAACCATGTTGTAGAACTCACTGGGAAGTGGTAGTCATCCCACTTGCAGTACTAAAAAAAGGTTTAAATCAGCATCCAGATTTTTTAGGCTGGTAACTAAGACTACAGGAAAGGCAATAAAAAAACACTGGAAACACCTAAGTGCATCTGACAGCTAGAAAAGAAAAAAAAGAAAAGTAAATAACATCCTCAAAGTATTCAATCATATATAAAAACCATGATGAGGTGTAACTTTGAGTTGCTGTTTAGTATGAAGGTAATTTAATGAAGCAAAACAGGATAAATTGAAACTAGAGAAAAAACACCACAACAGCTGTTAGGAAGCAGAAATGCACCAGCATCAAGGCATAATAAACACCAGCCACAAGCGTGATCATACCATTTACACTCTTTTTGAATGAAAACAGGGA